GTCAACATAAGGTTTGTTTCAAAACCTAAAGGATAAAAGAATTCTTTGTCAGCTCTTATTTGACTGTGTAGAAATAAAATGACATAAGTGAGAAAAGACTAAAAGTACTCAGTTAGCTACTATCCCATAGAATGACACATTGTTGCAGTAGAGACATCATAATAGATTTTCCAAAAGTAATAGAATCATGTCCGCTTTATCTGTTATTTAAAGATATGAGTCTCCAAAGTATGTCAAATGAAAAGTAAGGTTTTGCTTCTAATCTTAAGAGAAGCACTAAAGACTGCAACATATGTTTCTTTTTTTTAAGAGGGATGTATAAAATCTCTTAAGGATATTGAGTTTAAGGGGGAAGAAAGGGTTATACTCATTGTTGTATGAAAGAGAGAATTTATTTTTCTCATTTTGTTGCTATAGACAATAATAAAAAATACTTTCTTCTCCCACATAAAGGGAATTGCTCCTTAAAGGTAAACTCAACAACCTTAAGAGAATACAATATTAAATTGAGTTAAACTTAAGATGATAATGACATTTGGAATCTTATCAATTGTCAAAAGTGTGAAATCATTTGGTCACAAATGTATATTTGAGACCGTTTGAATTTCAATAGGCAATGTTGAAAAAGTTATAACTAAAGTCTAATCACCTAGAGTTTCACTCAATACGGACTCTGTTTTAGAGTTTTAGGATTCCCTAAACGGTGTTACAACTCATAATGATTATCTCATATTTGTGAGGTAAATAAAGTTAATGTTAGTATATACCATGTGATACACATCTCACTCAATGCCCAATAAAGATCTTACGGTAAAGAAGAATGCAAAAGGTTCCCTCTGGCGTCAGCTTTGGGAAATTATATGCATACTTCGGTATGTACGCATTCGGCTAAATCGTACATAAAGTTAGGCAGGTATATAAATAATCCTTTGAAGTGGATCTTTGAATAGAAACAAAAGGATTATACAGTAATTATAGAGAACATAAGGTCATTTATGCTCATTTATCGAAATCAGTTCATTTGGGAGATCATTTGGTTTTTTGATTTCGAGTTTGTATGATGCTTGTACATTATAGATCCATTTAATGTATACCTAATTAAAAGAGAATTTAAGTACGAGTGTTTAGCCAACACCCAAAACTCTTTTAACTACGGTAATCAGTTTATAAAAGCATCTTATTTTGTAATATACAGAGTGTATGGGTGTCATATTATTTAAGGATATTCGGTTTTAGTGGGAGTTTATAATAAATGTGTTATTTTGGCGTAGACACAATTTTTGGGTTAATTCGGATTAAGGATACTCTTAGGATAATTTCTGCAGAAATAAGGTTTTCGTTTATTCACACTCTGATTTGTTAAGGTTTGATCTCATTAAGGAGGATCAATTGGAAATAGGTATGTTAAGGTCACATTGCATGACATTTCCATGCTACACATCCACATCATAATCTATGTCATTCAATTGTGTTGATATTGTGACCATTGTAGGGTCCCGTTACGACTAATGTGAATGAAGGCCCCTTTGATTCAGTGTTAGCATGATTGATGGACGAGATTGGTTATAGACACACTTCAGTAATGACAGCAAAGTTGAGCTCAAAATTTATTTATGCAACCTATAATTATAAAGTTACACATATAGTCCAAGTGGGAGATTGTTGGAACATTAATCCAACGTTGGACTTATATGTGAAATATTATGTGTTGCAAGACTGTCACGTAAAGTTAAGCCTGTTAAAGTGATCGACTAAAGTTTATCTGGATTGGGCTTTAATGTGTCTAATAGGGTGTGGGCCTTTAATGTGTAGAGACATTAGGGTAATTTTATTATAGTGATGGGCTAAAATAAAATTACACAAGATAGCCCATTAGGTTATCTATATATATTGGTCATGGTCCCCGGGTCACATGTACGAATTCCATTCTCTATGTACTCCATTGACATAAAGAAAACGAAGAGAAGTCTAAAGGGTTCTCGGGTTCGGATGTACATGATGATCTGGAAGATCCATGATCGTTTCATATCAATTCCACCGGAGTAAGGTACGCTTCCGATTTAAGTTTATGCACAATATTCTTGATGATTCGGCATGACGGTTCCATGGGATTTATTCAAATTTATTCCAACATGTTAACTTAGAGATCGATCTTGAAAAAAATAGTCTTCTTCTTCTACCTCGTTGGCACAACACTAAAATTTTGGGAAAAAGGGCGTTTATCTCCTTTATGGAGATTGACTGTGGCTTCATAATCGCCATGAAATAGTGAAGTCCCAAACAGACCCTTACAATTTGTGGTTCCAGGTGAGTCACCTGCGTGAGTCCACTCACTTATAAACTCGTCCGCAACATCTCCTCCAAATCGTTATTCCTTCAACGGCCCAATGTGAATGAACTTCCCTTATAATTAATTTGTTCCAAATAAGTTGTCAGCCCAAATACCACACAATCTTTTTAGGGTAAGTTACGAATTACGGCCACCCCCGAGGTAAGGCTAAATTACGAAAAATCCCCTCATGTTTTAGTAATTACAACCAATCCTCTCATTAATTAATTTTCTTACACGTCCACTCTCATGGTGTCAAATTTAACATAATCTTCTAGATTACGTGGAATGTTCTTTAGCATGATTTAATTTTAGCTTGTTTAATTGTTGTATATTAACATTCTTAGCTAATTAAAAATCCAAAAAATGGAATCATGAATAAGATCATCTATCTATGAGCATTTACTTAAATTATAAAATTCAAGCGATTTCAGTGATATTGCATTGGGGGCAGTTTATAATTACTACTTGTTTTCTATACGTGTACTTAATTTGTAGAATAACGGTAAACTTAATGGAATCAGTCTACTTTTTTGTATTGATGGTTGAACGACATGCGCTCTTTTATACGTCAAATTTTACAAAATACAACAAACTTTGGCGAAAAAATAAGATACAAAAGATCAGCATGTCAAATCAGCTCCGACAATTAGCACGAACCGATCGTAAAGCTCCTTACAAGAAAACATATGAAAGAACATATGTTTTACCAAAATCCAAAGAGTGATGCCATGCAGATAAGACTTTTAATTTATTCACGAAAAGTTTCAAGAACGTCTAAGCAATAATTAATCGAGGGATGCATGTCGAAATTCTTCAGAAGAAGATTATTCTACCGAGACAAGCCCAAAAAAACAAGTGTTTATTGCTTGCAACATGTGCAGCACAATTAAGTATAGAAGACTCTACATTCTTTATCATGCTTGTAATTTTCTTCAGTTCACAAACGCTTAAGATATTTACGTTAATTCTCGTGGCATGAAATATCACTACAATTCTTATTCAATTGAAAAACCAAGCGATGATACCCTGTTCAATAAAATTTACTAACAGCAGGGCATTTGGTCTAGTGGTATGATTCTCGCTTTGGGTGCGAGAGGTCCCGAGTTCGATTCTCGGAATGCCCCTCTTTTTAAAACAAGTTAAATGCAATTTTTTTTTGATACAATAGATATAGCATTGGCAATAAACACGTAACAAAACGACCAAATTAGGAGAACGGATAGCCACATAAGAGTATGTTGGTAAATTTGTGAAAAATTAAAACGCAAATTTATAGAACAATTTCATAAGAGTAAATCTAGTAGTCGTTGTTTGTGCAACTTTCATGGCATTGGCAATAATCCGATCGATAAAATGAACCTAGTGCCACCCCGTAATCATACGTTATAGACAGTAAAGGTTGTCTAACAGCAACGAATGACATTTGAATCCAAGTCAACTACATCTAGAGGCTATATCGAAAGCATTATGCACTATACAACGTTTAAATATAATATCCAATATCAAAATGTGTGAAAAAGAGGGCATTTGGTCTAGTGGTATGATTCTCGCTTTGGGTGCGAGAGGTCCCGAGTTCGATTCTCGGAATGCCCCCACTGGTTTTATTTGTATATATATATATATATATATATATAGTTTTTTTTTTTTTTGTTTTTGTGTTTCATTGACTTCCACAAATCAACTGTATTTTTTTCACTGTAAATTTATCCACTTCAATTTATTTTAACAAGTTTTAAAGTCAAGTTTCTCCACAGAAAATGCACATAGCATTTTGTTACTTACAACGAAGTTATAGTTACATGATATTCACAAATACTAAAACGGCGAATTACATCAACTCAGGGAAGAATGTACAGACGGCATGAATTCACCAACATTTTGTTGCTTCGTAAGTGTAAATTTAGGTCTCGATTTTTGCGAAACTTTCATGACATTGCCAATAATCCAATCAAAACAACGAACCTAGTGCCACTCTTGTACCAGCAATTATATTCAATAAACAGTTTCTATCAGCACAACAGGGCATTTGGTCTAGTGGTATGATTCTCGCTTCGGGTGCGAGAGGTCCCGAGTTCGATTCTCGGAATGCCCCGAATCAGCATATCATTTTAGAAATTCAATGTTTTTTAAGAAAATTTTTACCGTAGAAAAAAGGATAAATTCCACTTTACCCCCTTGAACTTTGGCTCGATATCACTTTAACCCATTGTACTCTCGATTGCATCGATTTGCCCCCTTATACTTGAAAATTTGTCTCAATGTGGCCATTGCCTTTAGTTTTTAGACATTTGACATTAACACCGTTCAATCTAAGTCTGAAAATTACAAAAAAACCACCGCGCACCCAGTTTACATAATTTTTTGTAATTAAAAATAATTAAAAACCCTTGTACTATGTTTTCTCGTTGCCTTGAATTTTAATTATTCTTTTTTTAATAATTATTTACACTGGGAGATGTGGCGTTTTTGTAATTTCTGAGTTTAGATCAAACGGTTTTAAGGTCAAATGTCGGACAACTAATAGCGAAGGGCCACATTGAGATAATTTTTCAATTACATGGGTAAATCGATGCAATCGAGAGTAGAAGGGGGTAAAGTGATACCGAACAAAGTAAAGGGGGGAATGGAATTCTCTAGAAAAAAAGGTAAAATAAAAAATGTAATAGAAAATGAGATAAACAAACATTATTCGTTTTTTTTATCACTTGCAAAAATTAGGAATCCATTACCCCCAACACTATTACATGTCACATAACTAACAATATATTCAATAATTTCCTTGCACATTATTAACATTTCTAGACGTCGATCTCGAACCGAATCGCCATAGCTTGTACTCCCTCGTTTGGCGAAACACTAATCTTTTGAAAACTAGAATATTCGCCTCCCATTGGATGACTTATTTTGACTTCGTACTCCCCGTGAAATAGTGAAGCCCCAAACACACCGTTATAGTCTGTGGTTCCCGGTAAATCGGCAATATGAGCCCATTCGTGTATAATCTTGTCGACAACATTGCCCGTTTCTAAATTGTTGAAATTATTGTCCGTCAAACACATCCTATAGCATCCTTGTGGGCTCCACGCGCTCCAAATTATTATTCCATCAACTGCCCAATGCGAGTGAAGCTCCCTTATAATTTGTTCCAAGTATGTTGCCTGCCCAAACAACACACAAATTATTAATAAAAATATTAGTAAAATTTTGGATCGGAAATGGCGGGATTTGGAATATTCCAAATTTTCAGTCTCTTAATAAGATAATATACAAAATATATAATAATATGGAATTATGGATATTATAAGTGTAAATTTCGGAAATAAAAAAATGGAATACTCGGAATTATTTTCAGAAATTTTGAAGTTGGATCAGAAATCAGAACCACGTGTTTCTTCCAATTCCAATCCAAAAAAAAAAGGGAAAAAATTGAATCCGAATTTCGGAATGAAAAATAGTGCTCCAAATTTGTATTTTTTCGGATCAGAATCGGGGCAAATCAATTTTTTTTTCTCCTTATTTCGACCCCAACTAGAAATGTAAAAAGATATTTTACAAACATATATGATATGTAGAGTAAAGAAAATAAAATAAATTAGATAAACAAAGAGTGGGAAATATACAGTTTCCGTTCCGTCCCTCAAGTTTGATCTAATTTCATATTTGGTCCTTCAAGATTACAAGAAATATATTTGGTCCATCATGTTTTTAAAATCCAACATTTTTATTCCTTTCGGTCAATTTTCCGTTAATCCTAATGGATTCAAGCATGCACCCTTCACTGCCTTCACTAATGGACTAACGGTTAATTGACGAAAATGACCAAAAGTATTAAATTATTGAAACACAAGGGACCAAATGTATTTTTCATAATTATGATGGACCAAATGTGCAATGAGTGCAAACTTGACGGATGAAAACTGTAATTGTTTAAATAAGAGTCATACCTGGTTGGGCCCTGATTTAACATCTAATTCAGTAATCCAAATGGGTAAATCTGCAGAAGCAAGCTGATCAATGGCAGCCCTAACATACGGCAGATTCGGATCAGAGAAATGGCCCTGAAGCCCAATGCCCAAATGACCATTATACCCCTCCTCCCTCATCTGCTCAATCTTCGCCAAATACAACGACGGCGCCGCCGCATCGCCGCCGCTGCTCTGCTCGATGGTGTTGTACTCGTTCAGAAACGGCGTCGTCCCGCCGTCGATCCCGCTCGCCATCTCGTAGAATACGGCGGAGGCGTTCGCTCCAAGCTTGCTCTCGAAGAAGCTCCAATGGAGATTCTCGTTCACAACGTCCCAGTGGAATAGCTGCCCCTTGTATCTGTTCATCACGGATTTTATCCTCTGCTCCGCGGCTGCACGCAAGTCGTTCGACGAAAGTCCCGGCACCCACGAAGGCTGGTCGCTCTCGTTGTCCCAGAACACGTTGTGGCCGCGGATTGAGACTCCGTTCGACTGCGCGAATTTGACGAGGGCGTCGGAAATTGAGTAGTCTTCCACTCCTCTTTGGACTTCGTTTGCGTACCTAATCGATGAATCGAATCGTGTTATTATACATACAGTTAAACCTCTATAAATTAATACAGTCGGGACTATCAAAATTCTATTAATTTAGCGAAATATTAAGTTATCGAACTAATAATTTAGTAGATTTTTACTGAATCGGGATCAGAAGAAACTATTATTTAAGTGAGGTTATTAATTTATCGAGGCTTGATAAATTAATAACCTTGTTTAAATAATAATTTCTTACGGTCCGGACTCGGAAAAAGCGTACTAAATTATTATCTCGATAATTTAATATTTTCTAAATTAATAGAATTTTATCGGTCCCGACTGTATTAATTTATAGTACATCTACATACAAACACATATAATTTGGGTTTTTTTCGTTAATTACCATTTGAGTTCGTTTTCGAATACGGTGTATTTGAATCTGGATGTGAACCAGTTTTGGTATGCGGAGTTTCCGATGATGTTTTTGTTAATGGCGACGCCGAAAGGGAAGTTGTGGTGGCGTTGTTTGAGTGAAACGGTGGCGTTTGGTATGGGTTGGTTGTGTTGATCTACGGCCTGGAATTTGACACTTGATTTGCGGAACTGCAAATAGAGTTTAAAAATAAAAATATATATATTGAATTAAATATTTATGATAATTTAAATTAATTAAAGAAAAATCATATACCTTGTGAATGTTGTGATCTTGGTGGGATTTCCATTCTTGGTGAGTGAATGGTTGCAGTGAGATGCTATCTGCCCAAATATCAACTTTTGTATTGTCGCTCTGCAAATCAATGTACAATCGGGTAAAAAAAATTAATACAATCGAGACTAAAAAAATTATATTAATTTAGCGAATATTAAATTGTTGAAGTAATAATATGGAACTAGAAAAAAATATTATTTAAACGATGAGGTTATTAATTTATTGAGTATCTATTATAATATATAAACAAAATTATTGCTTAAATATTTTTTTCTAGCATTTATTGAAACAAAATTAATAAATATGACTTTTTGGACCTTCCTTAAGGATATTTTTAATTTTAAATGTACACATCCATATATTTATTTATACCAATGAAATATCGTACGTAAATAACTTGTTAGATGCATACAATATGATATCATGATATATACATTGAAGATTCTTTGTCCATAAACTGGACAAGGAAAATTGCCGTATCCAAAAAATGTAAAATATCTTAATTGAAAAAAATAAAATTAATAATAATAATAATAATAATAATAATAATAATAATAATAATAATTAAAGAAGAAAAATAAAAACCTCGAAATAGAGTTTCGCCGGACCGGAAACGTTGACTACTAAGCCACCCTTGAGCATTGACCAACAACCCTTTCGAGCCACGACCAAACCAGCATTCCGATAGCCGTTTCTCGTCTTGAAAATTGCTGATATATCAGCTTTCCCATGGCTTACTTGTAACCAAGCTATATATATCAAATTAAAAATTAATTAATTAATTAATTGCCTCGATCAAACTATATAGTTTCGTCGAATAATATTGGTTAAAATTACCGATGAAATTAATATAAGTACCTGAGAAAGTGTATAACTTATTTTTCTCGAGAAGAAAATTTTGTGAGAAACTATCGAACGATTGCTTTCTTTTCGAAGCAATAATGTACTTGTTGCCATCGTTAGATTCTCCGTGCGCTATATTTGCGTTTCCGAATTTTGCCCATCCCATCAATTTTTCGTTCAACTCCGAATTCGTAACTATTCCTCCGTTATATTGAGGTTTGAGAGGCTTCGCCAAACACTATATAAAACATAAAATCAATTTTTTTTAAATAGGTTTCTAATTAATAACGTCGTACACAATTATACATCGAGTAAAATTCACTGAATATAGCATAGAATAAATCGTTACAACTCTATAAAAGTAAAAAAAAAAAACCAAAATTTAATTTCGCCTTTCGTCCCGGACTTACCTCGTGTGTGAACGTGTGATCGTAAGGCACTGCATGAACTCGAAATTCTGTAGACGAATAAATAAAATAAATAAATAAAGAATTATATAAGTTTTCAGCTTGATATATTAATTTGTTTATGAAATAATGAGATGAAATCGAATTAAGTACCAAATATGAGATTTATAATGAAACTGAGGACCAAACAAGAATTTAACAAGAGCTTCTTCGCCATTGATGACACTCTGAATTTTTTTATTTTATTTTTATTTGTGTAATATTACTTAAGATTAAAATTGGCAAATGCCTTGAACGTTTTATATAGATATTAAAAATATTACTGAAAATTTCATTGCATCTTTTAAAGGATGCTATCCTGATATTATTACTAAAATTAATTACTCACGATTTCAAGAAAATAAATATATGTTTCTCTTTATCTTTATTTTTCTTTTTCTTCGTTAAATAAGAGACTTAAATTATGTACTAATCATGGGATTGTCGATATCCGACGTTGCTCGATTGATGTGAAATATTCCTTGATTTTGTCCGGGCTTTCTTACACACGAAAATACACAAACCCACATTGGTGTGTGTAGGTCAACGTAACACTGCTATTGAAATTGTAATAACAAGAAAGGTAAATTACTGCTACCATGAAGTATAGTCAAATTACGAAAAAAAATCATCATGTTTGGGTAATTACATCCAGCTCCCCCAACTATGAATCTTCTTACACGTTCACCCTTATGGTTTCAAATTCAACAAAATCTTCTACAATTCGTTGAATGTTCTCTAGTTTCGTTTTGTGCAAAAAAACAGTTTATGATGCACCACAATTTGATATTTGCAAGCCAAAAGACACATCTTCTGATCATCTTGTTTTGAAATGTGGAGTTCGAATGAGGTAAAACGGGTACAAATTGAAGAATATCCCACATAATCTAGAAGATTCCACTAAATTTGACACCACATGTGTGGACGTGTAAGAAGATTCATATTTGAGGGGTGGTTGTAATAATTACCCAAACATGAGGGGATTTTCCATAATTTGACCTTACCTCAGGGGGTGTCCGTAATTTACCCTAATAATAAATAATGGAAAATTTACTGTTTTCATCCCTTAAGTTTGCAATGATTCCACATTTGGTCCCTCATGTTTACAAAAAACACATTTGGTCCCTCTTATTAAAAAAAAAATCGACATTTTTGGTCACTTCCGTCAATTTACCCTTAGTCCTTCAATTACGGTAGTGATGGACACATGTTTTATTCCGTTAGTCTTAACAGAAATTTGACGGAAATGACTAAAGATGTTGAATTTTTGAAATATGAGGGACCAAATGTGTTTTTTTGAACATAAAAGGCCAGATGTGAAATCAATTCAAACTCAAGGGGTGAAAACTGTATTTTTCCCAATAAATAATAATAATAGTAAAAGAGAAATAAAAATAATAATAACTTTTCCAGTTCTTAGTAATCTTATCCATGGAGCTAGCCAGAGCTGCGAAGCCTCCAATACCATCCTTCAATTCTCAAGAACAAACCCTAATTAAAACCCCAAAAACACAATCACAATTCCCAATCACTCAAAAACCCCATCACCTCAAATCCAAACACAAACCAAAACCCCATGCCAGCAAATCAAACAATCTCGAAATTTCCGCGCCGACGATGTCAGAAATCATGGAAGCATCCGCAGCGCAGAATCTCGACATCCAAATCCAAACACTCGGCCCGTTTTTCAGGATCACAGCCACTAGCTTGCAGACCCGGCGGGAAGTGGGCCGGGCCGAGGGGGTGATACGGGCCTGGTTTGGGGGCAGAATCCTGCATTTGGATTCGATGAAATTACAGAAGGAGACGATCGGAATGGAGAAATCTATATTTGGGATTGGTTTGTTTATTGGAGCTGTAGCGATTAGGCTTGGCTACGAGCGCGGCTGCAGCCGAGCCGAGCTGCTTGCTATCAATGACACTGATCTTTATCATAATAAGGTATCTTAAAATTTTCTTTTTTGTTCGCAAGTGAGAAACTAATTTCAATTTCGTTTGGAAAAAAAACCGGAGTTTGGAATTTTTCGGACAGGAATCGGTGGATTTTTGATTTTTTTTTTTTTTTTTTTGTATAAAATGCTAATGAAATTGATGTTAATCTGTTATAAGTTTATAAGTGTAATTTTCGAAAATTAGAATTGGATCGAATATAGGATCTCATTTGCATATTCCAACTCCGATTGGATAAAATTGAAAATTCGGAAATCTGCATTTTTTCAACATTTAACATAAAAAGGTATGTAAATATTTTTGCAAGTGAGAAACTAATTTCAATTTCGTTCGAAAAAAAATCGGGGTTCGAAGTTTTTAGAATCGGATTCGGTGGATTTTTTTTCTCTCGTTTCTTGCACTTAGAATATAGGGCGAATTATGACCACCTCTGTGGTATGGCCAAATTATGAAAAAGAACCCCTCTTGTCTGGGTAATTACAGCCACCCCTCTTAAATATTTTTACATAAAATTTATTTAATTCGGTTATTTACGAAACCAAATCGTATATTCAGTTCGGTAAACGGTATGAAATTTTGGCGTACTGAAATTTCGGTTCGGTTTTACCGATTTAACATCCCTAAATTTACCTCTAGAGGAGTATTTTCGTAAGATAATACATAGTTGAGGGGGTGACTGTAATTACCCAAACCTGAGGGGAGTTTTCATAATTTGACCATAACTCAGGGGTGACCGTAATTTGCTCTAGAATATAAAATTCAAATGAAATTGATGTTATGACTTATAAGTGTAATTTTCGGAAATTATAATTGGATCGAACATAGGAAACCTCATATGCATTCCGATTCCGATCCGATAAAATTGAAAAATTGGAAAATCGGCATTTTTTGAAATCCGGAATGAAAAATGTTGTTACGAGAATTTTGGATCAAATTAAGGCAATTAATCATCGATTTGAAAAAAAATATATGTCCCTTGATCAGGGTTTTATAGATGTTGTATTCGGTGAAATACATCGGATGGTTCTACACCATTGATTAATATATAATAACGCACACACCCATGTATACGTGTGCTTAGTGGATAGTTGTTTGTATAGATCTGCGGTGTAAAATTACCCGGTGGATTTCATCAGGTATAGCATCTCATAGACTCTTGATCAATCCTTTACATATGGCCGAAAATATCGGGTTAGAACCCATTACGATCGGGTTGAGTCTAATTTGAGTATAACACTATATGCACTATGTACAATCTTAATATGAAAAAATAAAGTTGGTTATGATTTAGTTGTGTTGACATTTATACATGTAACTGCAGCTTGTGAGATTTTACAAGAGAATTGGGTTCGAGGAAGTGTACGAGGTGACCGGTTCATCCTTCGGTGATTTTAGCCACATGCTCGTTTGGGGAGGCGTCGGTACAAGAATGAACGCTAATCTCGACGAACTCATGCTCAAGTGGTGTTCAAGATTCAAGACTAATAAGAACAAAACCAAGTAATTGACACTGTTTCGATTTTTCGAATACATTTATTATGTATCCATATATTGTATTTTGGTTGCCAAAACAGAAAAAAAAAAGAACAAAGAAGAAATAGTTTGATGGAAAAATAATGTCATAAATAAATGTCAAAGTTGTAAATATTCTGCTAATTTTGTCTTATTCTGTAGATGTTAAAACATTCTCGATTTTTTTCTAACTCCAACTGATCTACACGTTTATCGTAATACGGTAAGTATCTTGAGCTTCGTCGTTCGGTAGGAGATTAATTTCATGCAAATTAGAAACTGCGTCTCCATTAGGGTGATTGATTTTGACTTCATATTCACCATGGTATAGTGAAGTTTCGAAGATGCCGTTGGAATCTGTGGGGCCCGGCAAATCAGCTGCGTGGGTCCATTGATTCATAACCTTGTCGACGATATTTCCGGTTGCCAAGTTTCGGAAGTTATTATCGGTCAAACACATAACGTAGCATCCGTTAGGACTCCATGCAGACCAAATTATAATGCCTTGTACAGCCGAGTGTGAATGAATCTCCCATAGTATCTTCTCCAAGTAAGATGCCTGTCCAAACAAACACACATTTATTACTATTATTAGAAATTTATTGTTAGTGTCTTGACCTAACCATGGTTAAATATTGTCCGACGAAATTAACGGGATGGTTAATTAGGTCAATGGCCGTTGACTTTAACTGTCTAGCCATTCCGTGTATAGATGACACGGTTAAGGATGGGGGTTGACGCATGTGGACTTTTGTTTTTTTTTTTGAAATATTTGAATGACCACGGTTTTGTGGTTGTTGTTGGGGATCAACGGTCACGATTAAGCCGATTAGCTAGAGATTCGACCGTTTAATTTTTTCCAAATTAAACTCATGGAAAGAATTTGTTTAAGGGTGCATTTGGATGGAAGGATTTGGGGAAGGGATTTCAAATCCATAATAACAAATCCCTTGGACCTGTTTGGATTGAGGGATTTGTGGATGGATTTCAAATCCACACCCCTCCTTTTTAGTTATGTTTTGAGCAATTGAGGTGGATTTCAAATGACTCCAAAATTGGAGCCATTTCAAATCCCTTCCCCAAATCAAATCCCTCCCCAAATCCTTCCATCCAAACGCACTCTAAGATTAATCGGAAAACCGGATTTTCTAACCCTTAAACATCTTACCTTTTTCGATTACAAATAATAAGGGGCATGGCTCTCGAATTTCTTATCAAGTCATTCGTAAAAGAATAACGCAAAAGAAACGTGAATGATTGTAGACTTGAATTAAATTAGTATAAATTAAAATATAATAATTCAGAATATGATTATTGAAACTCCTTAAATATTAGGGATATTCCCAGTGGTAGAAATCGGACAGAGCGGATGGGAATCGACACTTATAGGATTTTTTTTTTTGATGTTAATAACTAATTCCAATTACGTTTAAAAAAATCAAAAATTCGAAATTTCAAAAATTATAGTGAAAAAGTTTGTTCCATAATTTGAGATTTTTTTTAGATCGAAATCGGCAGTACTCGGGAATTCTAATAGTGTTTGAAAATATTTTTGTAATTCGAAATTACTAAAATCGGAAATTTTTGGATTGGGTGGGGGAATTCGGAAATTCCATTCCAATTTTCATCCCTACGTATCCCCAAACAATAACACAAATAAATAAATATTGGGAAAATTACAGTTTCACCCCTTAAATTGACACTAATTTCACATTTAGTTCTCATGTTCACAAAAAACACATTTGGTTCATGTTTTAATAATTTAACATTTTTTGTCCTTCCGTCAAGTTACCGTTAGTTCGTCAGTTAACGTAATGACGAGCACACTCTTCTTGATTTCGTTTGTACTAACAGAAAATTGACGGAAAAGACTAAAAGTGTTGAATTTTTGAAACATGATGAACCAAATGTGATTTTTGTGAACACGAGGGACTAAATGTGGAAATCAAATGCAAAGTTAAGGGATGAACACTGTATTTTAACAATAAATATTTATAGATTTTAAATTGAAAAAAAAAGACATATATTACCTGATTGGGGCCGGATTTAACATCCAATTCAGTAACCCAAATGGGCAATTTGGCAGAAGCAAGCTGATCAATGGCGGATCTCAAATATGGCAGATTCGCATTCGTAAAATGCCCCTGCACACCAATACCCAAAGGACCATTATACCCGTTCTTCCTCATCTCCGAAATCTTCTGCAAATACTTGGACGGCGACGAAGTCCCATCGCCGCTCTCTTCAATAGTATTGTACTCGTTCAAAAACGGCGTCGTTTTCCCGTCAATCGCATTCGCCTTCCCGTAGAATACAGTGGAAGCGTTCCAACCAAGCTTGCTCTCGAAGAAATTGAAGTGCAGATTCTCGTTCATAACATCCCAGTGGAAAAGCTGCCCCCGGTATCTCCCCATCACTGAATTTATTCTCTTGTTCGAAGCTGCCCACAAGTCGTTCGACGAAAGTCCCGGCACCCAATTCGGCTGGTCGGCCGGGTTAGCCCAGAAAACGTTGTGGCCGCGGACTGCGACGCCGCGGGATTGGGCGAATTTGACTAGGGCGTCGGATGCGGAGTAGTCTTCCGAGCCACGAGATCTCTCGTTTGAGTACCATTTGAGTTCGTTTTCGAATACGGTGTATTTGAATCTGGTTGTGAACCAGTTTTGGTAGGCGCTGTTTTGGAGGATGTTTTGGTTGATTGCGCAGCCGACTGGGAAATTGGGGCGGCGCTGCTTGATTGAAACGGTGGCGTTTGGTATCGGTTGGCCGTGTTTGTCCACCGCCTGGAATTTCACCTTTGATTTCCGGAACTGCATCGTATACATACAGAGTTACAAATTCAAATTTCAAATGGGAAAAATACAGCTTTCGTCCCTCAAGTTTGCACCGTTTTCACATTTGGTCCCTCGTGTTGCAAAAATTCAATATTTTTAGTCATTTCCGTCAATTTCTTGTTACTACTAACGGAACCAAGCGTGTGTACATCACTGCCTTAACTGACGGACTAGCGATAAATTAAAGAAAATGACTAAAAATGTTGAATTTTTGAAATATGAGCGACCAAATGTGTTTTTTTGTAAACATGGGGACCAATTATGAAATCAGTGCAAACTTGAAGGGTGGAAACTGCAATTGTCCTTTAAATTTATATAATATTGAATTAAAGATTTGTGAAATTTAATTTCAATTTTTCTTTTTTCATTTTGCAAAAGAATTCACCTTCTCAATGTTTTGTTGTTGGTGGGATTTCCATTCTTGGTGAGTGAATGGTTGCAGTGAGATGCTGTCTGCCCAAATATCAACTTTTGTGTTGTTGCTCTGCAAATGAAAGAATGAGGTTAAAGTCGACATTTACAACATTTAATTTATTACATATCGATATTGTATCATTGTGGGGAAAAATACATTTTTACTCTCTCAAGTTTGTACTAATTTCACATTTCTTCCCCATGTTCACAAAAATAAAATAAATTTGGTCCCTTATGTTTCAAAAATTCTACACTTTTAGTCATTTCCGTCAATTTCCCATTAGAACTAACGGAATCAAGCGTGTGTCCGTGACTAACTTAACTGACGAAGTAACGGAAATGACAAAAATTGTTAAATTTTTAAACATTAGGGACCAAATGTGTTTTTTATGAACATGTGGACCAAATGTGAAACTAGTGCAACTTGAGGGATGAAAACTGAAATCCCCCCTATCATTGTGTATTTTATAGATTTGTTATGTGTTTTACTCGGTGAACTTTATCGAGTTGTATAGATTTAAGATGAAAACTACTCGATAATTTTCTTTTACTTTGAAGTTTTTTTCTTGAAAATGTTAATTTTGATATGATCATGACTTGCAGCACTTTAAGCAATTGTTGTCGCAAGAATAATAAATAAACATTAAAATAAATATTTAGTTCGAGGATCATTAGAAGAAAAAGAACCTCGAAATAGAGCTCTGTGGGGCCGGAAGTATTGACGACGAGACCACCCTTGAGCATGGACCAACAACCCTTACGAGCCGTGACCCAACCAGCAATTTCATAACCCGTTTTCGTCTTGAAAACTGCTGCTACATCGGCATTTCCATCGCTCACTTGCAACCAAGCTACATTGAATTTACCAAAAAAAAAAAGATCAATATTATTATTGTGTCTAATTTTGCTTCGTCATCATAATTATTTTGCTTTATAGTAAGCGATGAATGAAGATATACGAGTACCGTACCTGAAAAAGTGTATAGTTTTTCCTTTTGTAAAATAAATTTCTGCGAGAAACTATGAAACGACTGTTTTCTCTCTGAAGCAATAATATATTTATTCCCATCATATGATTTTCCGTGTTTTATATTTGCATCTCCAACCGATGTCCATCCGTACAATCCTTCGTTTAGTTCGGGATTTACGACTATTCCTCCATCGTATTGGGGTTTTATCGGCTTTGCCAAACACTGAAATGTTCATAACAAAATCCTTAAAACAAGATTTAAGAAATATGATTTCTAACTTTATTAATTATAAATTAATTTTTTTTTCTTCGTGTACTTGCCTCGTGTGTGTATGAGTGATCATAAGGCACTGCATGGACTTGTAAACCTGTAAATAATCATAAAATTTATTAAAAATTCTGATTAAATATTGGAATATATCAAAGACGAAATCGAATAAGTACCAAAGCCAAGATTGAGAATGGTAACCACGAACAAAAAGTAATTTACGAACTTTGCCATTTTTCGACACTTTTATTTTTTTGTGATTTTTATTTTTTCCTTCTTCAATGTACCATCTTATATAGGGTTTATACACTTAAAATCTTAATATGTAAATCTATATATGTTACATAAATAGTAATGAGATTAAGGTTGATGCTAAGAATTTAATTATATGTTTATCTCTTTTCTATTTATTTATTTGATTTTCATTTTGACTTTTCTTGGTAAGAAAAAACTTGATTATGGAAAGTCAACACATTCGAATAAAAATTCGAATCGAAGTTCATCCATCTTCATCGGAAATATAGTAACTATAGACAATACAATCTGAATATTTTTCTAAATGAAACGAGTTAATTATATATTAACGGTCAAGAAATTTCGAGAATAATTTGGTTGCCCATGGTTTGTAATTAGTGAGTTACTTAATATTTACTGTTATTTCATGAATATTGCACCAGATGCTATCAAAATTGTGATAATAAGAAATATTATATTTTACTTTGACCATTATTTTCTAGTGCAATAAAATCTGAAGCATGAATTTGAGAAAGGTAATTTAATCATTAATTAATAAGGTTTAATTATCAAATTTACTTTTATTATTATTGAAGAGGTTGTAGTCATAAATTTCACCTAAATTCTAATATTTATTTATGAAATATACTTTTAATAAAGACTATAAAAATGGCCAAAGTTGCTAGTCATATATATAATAGTGTAAATTACAACCACCCATGATGTATGGTCAAATTACGAAAATCCCCTTTTGTTTGGGTAATTACAACCACCCCTCAACTATAAATCTTCTTACATGTCCACCCTTGCGGTTTCAAATTTAGTGGAATCTTCTAGATTATATGGAATATTCTCAAGTTTGTACCCGTTTTATCCCATTCGAGCTCCACATTTTGAAGCTAGATGATCATAAAATGTGTTTTTTGGCCTGTATATATCAGACTGTGGTGCATCAGAAATTGTATATTTTGCACAAAACGAGTACAAACTAGAGAACATTCCACGGAATCTAGAAAATTATGTTGAATTTGACACCATAAGGGTGGAGATATAAGAAAATTCATAGTTGAGGGGGTAGATGCAATTATCCAAACAAGATGGTTTTTTTCGTAATTTGACCATAACTCAGGAGTGTGGTTGTAATTTACCCGATATAAAAAGAGAAGAAGAATTAGAAACTTAAATTTAAATTTATTAAAGTAGCCAAAATCTCAAATATAGTCAATAATTTTGTGAAGGGTACACTATTCTTTATATGTCACTATTATTTTTTCTTTATTTCTTTTTTCCCTTTTTGTGAACTGCTATCTCCGACTAATAATATTACACGTTGACCGTCAAACGATGAACGTAGAGTACTGCTTCCTCGTTCGGTACAACGTTAATTTCTTGCACACTCGAAACCGCGTCTCCGTTTATAAGTTTAGCTTCATATTCACCATGGAAAAGAGAAGCCTCGAAGAAGCCATTAGAATCGGTTGTGCCACGTAGACCATCGGCATGAGTCAACTCGTTTATAAAACTGTCGACGACGTTTCCGGTTTCTAAGTTTCGGAAATTATTGTCCGTTAAACACATGGCGAAACAACCCTGTGGGCTCCACCCTGTCCACATCATAATGCCTTGCACTGCGTAATGTGAGTGAATCTCCCTTAGTACCTGGTTCAAATAATTTGCCTGCCCAAGTATAACACAACATATTTATTAGAAAATAACTTTTTTATTAGGGAAAATTACGGCCAACCCCTTGAGGTATGGCCAAATTACAAAAAAACCCATCTTGTTTGGATAATTAAATCCACCCCTCCTTTTAAATATTTTTACATAAAATTTATGTAGTTCGGTTATTTACCGAACCAAATCGTATATTCAGTTCATTAAACAGTATGAAATGTAGGCGTACCAAAATTTCGGTTCGATTTTTAGCGGTTTAACATCCCTAAATTTATCTCGTTTTTAGCGGTTTAACATCCATAATACATAGTTGAGGGGTGGATGTAATTACCTAAAATATGAGGGGTGTTTTCGTAATTTGACAATAACTTAAGGGTGGCCGTAATTTACCATTATTATATATAACTACACATAACCAAAGGTGAACATTAGAAACAATTGCAAAAATTGGTCTCTCGTGTTTCAATAGTTTAAGTTTTTTGATCATTTTCGTCAGTTTACCGTTAGTTGGTAAGGTAAGACAGTCATGGGCACACGCTTTATAAGAATTTACCGTTAGTTCAATTTTACCTGGTTGGGCCCGGCTTTAACATCGAGCTCCGTCACCCAAAGCGGCAATTTAGCAGAAGCAAGCATATCAATGGCGGATCTCGTATACGGCAAATTCACATTATTAAAATGTCCCTGCGCGCCAATACCCAAAGGACCAGCATATCTCCCCCGCCTCATCTCATCAATCTTCTGCAAATACTTCGACGGCGACGCAACACCATCGCTACTCTCCTCAATGGTGTGGAACTCGTTCAGAAACGGCGTCGTCCTGCTCCCGTCAATCTTGTTTGCATACTTGTAATAAACGGTGGAAATGTTCGGGCCGAGCCTGCTCTCGAAGAAGTTCCAGTGCATATTCTCGTTCACTACATCCCAATGAATGAACCGCCCCTTGTATTTGGTCATCACTGAGATCAGCCTCTTCTGCGCGGCTGCAGCCAAGTCGTTCGACGAAAGTCCCGGCACCCAACGTGGCTGGTATTTCGGGGAGTCCCATAAGACGTTGTGCCCGCGGATCGTGACTCCGTGCGATTTCGCTAGATTGATCAGCGCGTCGGGGACGGAGTAGTCGACGACGCCTCTGTTGTATTCGGTCTCCGCCCTGTGATGTATAGATTTTTTTTTAGCAACCAGTACGCGAAGTTAGATGCTGCTACTACACCTCGTTATTTACACCGGGTGGATTTGAATCGTAGATTTTGATTAGATAGTACTACCCACAGAACACACATACACATGGGTGTGTGTGATTATGTGTAGATCTACGGTTCAAATCCATTCGGTGTAAATAATCAGGTGCAACATCTATAAATACATATTGTTAGATCTATAGATTTTTTGGGGAAAATTACACTTTTTACCCCTCAAATTTGTAATGATTTCACATTTGGTCCCTCATGTTTATAAAAAACACATTTGGTTCCTCGTGTTTCAATAATTTATCACTTGATTCCGTTAGTACTAACGGAAAAAAATTAGTAATAAAATAGTATAGGGTGGGTTTTTTTTTTAGCAATTTCGATATGATACAGGGGTACTAATTAATTGCAATGAATTCTCATTAATTTATTTACCATTTGAGTTCGTTTTCGAATACGGTGTATTTGAATCTAGAGAAGAACCAGTTTTGGTACGCGCCGTTTTGGAGAATGTTTTGGTTGATGGCGGTGCCGAAGGGGAAATCGGCGTTGTTCTGTTTGATTGAAACGGTGGCGTTTGGTACGGGTTGGCCATGCTGATCCACCGCCTGGAATTTCACCTTTGATTTGCGGAACTGCATATACAATATTTAAATTTAGAGAAATAAATAATTTTGAAAAAAAATAATAAAATTAATTTTTAGAAATTAATTTCACCTTCTCAATGCTTTGATCTTGGTGGGATTTCCACTCTTCATTGGTAAATGGCTGCAGTGAGATGCTATCTGCCCAAATATCAACTTTTGTGTTGTTGCTCTGCAAACAAAGGAGGAGTTTAATTATTTTAAACTGTATTAATTCTCTATTAGTTAATAAATTAGTTTGTTGAATTATACTGGATTTAATATTGAAACTATAGCAAATTACGGCCACTCCTCTCTTGGTAAGTTCAAAATTACGAAAAAGTTCATGTTGGATAATTACAACATCCCCTCAACTATGTATTTGTCTTACATAAGAACCCCTTATTTAGTAGGTAAGTTTTACACCGTAAAGCTAAACGTGTAAGACAATATATAGATGGGTGGTTGTAATCACCCAAATATGAGGAGTTTTTTCGCAATTTGAGCATACATGAGAGAGTGGCCGTAATTTGCCCTTGAAACTATTAAAGTTCGGTATTGAATGTGATTTTCTTCTTTCTACTAGTAACAATAATCATAATCTAATTTGGTAAGAAATTGACTCTAGTTTATATTTTTGGTCTTGAATGTTTTTTTTGAAATCCAAAAAACAATATAAAAAAAAATTGGGAACAATATAATTTTTATCCCTCAATTTTGCACGGATTTCACATTTGGTCCCTATGTTTACAAAAAACACATTTGGTCCCTCATGTTTCAATAATTTAACACTTTTGGTCATTTCAACCAATTTACCATTAGTCCGTCAGTTAAGGCAGTCATTTACATACGCTTGATTGTGTTTGTACTAACAAAAATTGACGGAAAAGACTAAAAGTATTGAATTTTTGAAACATGAGGGACTAAATGTGTTTTTTGTAAACATGGGGGACCAAATGTAAAACTGATTCAAACTTGAAGGACAAAATTTGTATTTTCTAAAAAAAAAATCAAACCTCAAAATAGAGTTCAGCAGGGCCAGAAACATTGACCACTAGTCCACCTTTGACCATTGACCAACAACCCTTATGGGCAGTTATCCAGCCAGCATATACATTGCTTGTATTTGTCTTGAAAATTGCTGCTATGTATGCATCTTCATTGCTTACTTGCAGCCAAGCTACATAAAGTTTGCAAAAAATAAAATAAATAAATTATTAATTTTGTAAATTTATTGAATGTATATATATATATATATATAAATACGTATGTACGTACCGGAGAAAGTGTAGAGTTTTTCTTTCTCTAAGTTAAACTTTTGCGAGAAACTATGAAACGGTTGTTTTCTTGCGGAGGCAACAATGTACTTGTTGCCATCGTCGGATTCTCGGTGCTCCACCGTTGAATCTTCGAATTTTGTCCATCCTTTCAATCCTTCGTTTAATTCAGGATTCACAATCACTCCTCCGTCGTATTGAGGCTTTAACGGTTTTGCTAAACACTGAAAATATATAAATACAAGAAAATTAATTGAAAATATTAAATTAAAAAAACCATGCATGCATAGGAAATAAAAAGATTGGTTTTATTAATTTTGGGAC